AAAATCCCCATTTTTTCCCGATTTTTCACTTTTTTTTCACCCAATCCCGGGGTTTTATGGGAATTTTTTCCCAGTTTTTTCTCCTTTTTGGTATTTCAGCATCTCAGAGCCAAACTCAAAAAAATCCCCAAAAAAAACCACACGAAAATCTGCTTTTTCCTGATTTTTCGCCGATTTTTCGCCGTTTTTCTCACTCAGTTTTGGAGCTTTTTTGTTCTTTCGTCGTTTCCAGATAAAAAAAGGGATTCAGATCCTGAAAAATGGGATTTGAATCCCAAAAATGGGGTTTGGATCCCAAAAAATGGGACGATGGATCCCAGGAAGAGACCCCAAATCCTGGGAAAATGGACCTGGAGTCCTGGGAAAAAAAGGGATTTTGATCCCAAAAATAAGGGATTTTGGATCCCAAAAAAAGGGGATTTGTATCCCAAAAAATGGGATTTGGATCCTGGGAAAAGGGACCTTGAAAAACGACGCTGGATCCCAAAAAATGGGACTTTGATCCCGAAAAAAGAACATTGGGAAAATGGACATGGAGTCCTGGGGAAAGGGATATGGATCCCAGAAAATGGGGACTTTGATCCCAAAAAATGGGATTTTGGATCCCAAAAAATGGGATTTGGATCCCAAGAAAACGGATTCTGGATCTTGGGGGAAAAAGGGATTTGGATCCCGGGGAAAAACGGACGTTGAGTCCAAGGAAAAGGGACCTTGGAAAAGGACGTTGGATCCCAAAAAATGGGACTTTGATCCCAAAAAATGGGACTTTGATCCCAAAAAAAATGGACTTTGGATCCAGGGACAATGGACGTTGAGTCCTGGGAAAAAGAGGGGATCTGGATCCCAAGAAGAAGAACTTTGGATCCCCAAAAAAAAGGGATTTGGATCCCGGGAAGACGGACCTGGAGTCCAGGGGAAAAGAAGGGACGTTGATCCCAAAAAATGGGATTTGGATCCCAAAAAATGGATGTTGGATCCTGGGAAAAAGGACGTGAAGTCCTGGGAAAGGAACGGACACCGGATCCCAAAAAAAAAAGGGACATTGGATCCCAAAAAATGGATGTTGGATCCCAGGAAAAGGACGTTGAGTCCTGGGAAGATGGACCTGGAGTCCTGGGAAAATGAGGGATTTTGGATCCCAAAAAATGGGATTTGGATCCCAGGAAAAGGAGGGACATTGAGTCCTGGGAAGATGGACCTGGAGTCCTGGGGAAAGGAGGGACTTTGATCCCAAAAAATGGGATTTGGAAAAGGACCTTGGATCCTGGGAAAAGGGATTTGGATCCCAAAAAAATGGACGTTGGATGTTGGGAAAAGAGATTTTGGATCCTGGGAAGAGACGTTGGGAAAACAGAGCTGGAGTCCTGGGAAAATGGACATTGGATCCCGGGAAAAGAAGGTACAGTACATTGGATCCCAAAAAATGGGAATTTGATCCCAAAAAACAGGACTTTGGATCCTGGGAAGACGGACCTGGAGTCCTGGGAAAAGAAGGGATTTGGATCCCAAAAAATGGGATTTGGATCTTGGGAAAAGGACGTGGAGTCCTGGGAGAAGGGGTTTTGGAAAAGGACATTGAATCCCGGGAAAAGAAGGGACTCTGATCCCAAGAAAAAGGACTTTGGATGCCGGGAAGACGGACCTGGAGTCCTGGGAAAAAGGGACCTTGGATCCCAAAAGAAGGGACTTGGATCCTAAAAAATGGGACTTTGATCCCAGAAAATGGAACTTTGGATCCTGGAAAAGGGATGTTGGATCCCAGAAAAACGGGATTTTGATCCCAGGAAAAAGGACTTTGAATCCTGGGAAGACGGACCTGGAGTCCTGGGGAAAGAACTTTGGGAAAGGACGTTGGATCCTTTTGGGAAAAAGAGGGACTCTGATCCCAAAAAATGGGACTTGGATCCCAAAAAAAAGGGACTTTGATCCCGGGAAAATGGACCTGGAGTCCTGGGAAATGGGATCTTGGAAAAGGACCTTGGATCCCGGGAAAATGGACCTTGGATCACGGGAGAAGGACGTGGGATCCCGGGAAAGGAAGGTACGTTGGATCCCAAGGAAAAGGATCCTGAAGAAAGGGACGTTGGATCCGAAAAAAATGGGATTTGGATCCCAGGGGAAGAAGGGACTTTGGATCCCTGGAAGATGGACCTGGAGTCCTGGGAAAAGGGACTATGGATCCTGAAAAATGGGATTTGGATCCCAAAAAATTGGGATTTGGATCATGGGCAAAGGACGTTGAGTCCTGGGAAAAGAAGGGACTTTGATCCCAAGAAAAATGGGATTTTGAGCACAAGAATACGGATTTTGGATACTGGGAAAAGAATGGATGTTGAGTCCCGGGAAAAGGGACTTTGGATCCCAAGGAAAAGGACGTTGGATCCTGGGAAAATGGACCTTGGGAAAAAGGACTTTGGATCCCAAAAAATGGGACTTTGATCCCAAAAAATGGGACTTTGATCCCAAAAAATGGGACTTTGATCCCAAAAAAAAGGGACTTTGATCCCGGGAATACAGACCTCAGTTCCTGGGAAAAAGATGGACCTGGAGTCCTGGGAAAAGAAGGGATTTGGATCCCAAAAAATGGGGATTTAGAAAAGGACGTTGGATCCTGGGAAGACGGACCTCGGGTCCTGGGAAATGGGATTTGGATCCCAAGGGAAGAAGGGATTTGGATCCCAAAAAATGGGATTTGGATCCTGGGAAAAGGGACCTTGGATCACGGGAGAAGGACGTTGGATCGTGGGAAAAGAAGGGGTTTTGATCCCAAAAAAAGGGACTTTGAATCCCAGGAAGAGACCCTGGGAAAACAGAGCTGGAGTCCTGGGAAAATGGACATTGGATCCCGGGAAAAGAAGGTACAGTACATTGGATCCCAAAAAATGGGATTTGGATCCCAAAAAATGGGACTTTGGATCCCGGGAAGACGGACCTGGAGTCCTGGGAAAAGAAGGGAAAAAAGGGACTTGGTTCCCAAAAAAGGATTTGCATTCCAAGAAAACGAACTTTGGATCTTGGGAAATGGACGTTGAGTCCTGGGAAAAGGGAAGTGGATCCCAATGGAAGAAGGGACTTTGGATCCCAAAAAATGGGATTTGGATCCCAATGGAAGAAGGGACTTTGGATCCCAAAAAATGGGATTTGG